CAGCGGATGGAAGATCACTCTCCCTCTCCTTCTTTCTCTAACTCTACCTTCCAAATAAATCTTTTTTTAAAAAAAAGTTTTAGCAAATATTTTTTCTTCCATTTTTCTTTTATTTGTGTTTAGCAAGCAGAGCTCGAGTTATCCTTGATGCATCAATTAAGCAACATGAGCGAGAACGAAGCCCCGCCCACCCTTTCCACTCTTAGGGACCGCAAACAGCTCCGCCCTTTGAGGAATGATGGTCAGGTCGGGACGCTAAAATGCTGTGCAGTCATAAGCAATAATCCAATTAAAGGGACTTGGACCCCTTAATACCAAATCAATGTATTTGATTTGGCAAAAATACAACAAATATCTGCTCTAAACCTCCAGAAAGTATCCGGAAACACACCCCTCCTCCTAACAGCTGAAATCAGGCCGAACGGGACCCTTAACGTTTCCAGGAAAATAAGATAGAGACGCCTGGTGGCCACACACCTCTGCTGCTGCAGGCGACCAGGCGCGGCCACCCCCACAGAGCAGGGGACTGGCACCCCAAGTGCCGAGAGGGCTAAGGGTCCCCCACGGAAGGGAAGGGAGGCCGGGAAAACCGCTTGTGTGATAAGCAATCCGGTTTTCCGCTGAACACACGTGGTCTGCAGCTGTTTGTCTAGAATTACAGCAGCCACGTGCACGGTTCTTAAAGGCACTAAGATCAGCAAAGCAGCGCCTCTTACGGCTCCGCCTCCCAGCCCAGCCCCCCAGATCCTCAAGGCCCCGAACCCAGGCAAGGCAGGTGTCCCGTTCCCGGGTCTTCACGCTCCTGGCGCCTGCGCGTGCACAGGGGAAACGAAGACACAGGTCCCCGTGCAGTTCAAAGCCGACGAGGCAATGCAGGGAGGCTGCTGCTCGCTCCGCTTCCACACTGCCAAAGCCCAGTCCCAGCCCGCACCCTGGACGCAGGCTCTCTCAGGTCTCCCCTCTGGGCCTCGCACACCTCCGCCTTCACTGCCAGGGTCAACTCCCCGCGGACGGACGGGAGCAGGTATCCCCAGGTGGTGAGACTCAGAGGTCCACGCTCACCCCCACGGCTCACTTCCTAACGCCGGACTCCGGTCTGAGATATTTAACAGAGACAACCCACCCCCCACACACACCCCACAGCCCAGAGCACACCTGGCCATCACTGTATCTTCAGAACACGCCGTCTGGCCGCTGACCAATCGCAGGAAGGCCCTGAGCACAGGGGACCAACCAGAGACGGCCCTCGAGCTGACCCCGCACGGCTCAGCCCCAGCTTTAATCTGCAAGCTCCCTAATCCGTCAGGGAGTCGGGGAACGGAGTGACAGCCGCGCCCCTGGCTCGGTGCACTGCAAGCTACACTCCTTCCCCTGTCCACCCTGGGCTTGGCGACCAGTTGGCACGCGTCGGGCGAGGACCCCAGGACGCCCCATTTGCAGGAAAGGGAAACTGCATTTTCCACAGAAGGAGCCGTGGCGGGAAACGTGCCCCAGAAAACATTTCCAAGGAAACCAAAGACGCTTTTGGGGGAAAAAAAAGGCTTTTGGGGAAAAAAAAAAGATTCACCAGACTCGGGTTTTTTTTTTTTTCTTTTTTACTATCCTTTTTATTATTATTATTTTTTAAAATTTTTATTTTTTTTAAATTTATTTGACAGAGTTAGACAGTGAGAGAGAGAGACAGAGAGAAAGGCCTTCCTTCCATTGGTTCACCCCCCCAAATGGCTGCCACGGCCGGAAATATGCTGATCTGAAGCCAGGAGCCAGGTGCTTCCTCCTGGTCTCCCACGCAGGTGCAGGGCCCAAGCACTTGGGCCACAGCAGAGAGCTGGACTGGAAGAGGAGCAACCGGGACTAGAACCCAGGGCCCATATGGGATGCTGGCGCCGCAGGCGGAGGATTACCCAAGTGAGCCATGGCGCCGGCCCCCAGACTCGTTTTCATTAGTAAAGGAGGGGTCTTCGAGAAGTTCACGGAAAATGTATATAAAATAACCAGGCATGGGATTCAAAACCTTGTATCAAAATATAAATTGCGCTCAACTGCGTTTTTCCACCACTGCAAACCCAAGGCAGCAGCCACTGAGCATGGTCAAGGGGGCGTTGAAGATTCTGGGGCCCCCTGGGAAAGTGGGCCGAGGGGCACCCTTCTCTCCAGCTCAGCTGGGAACCGCTGAAGACACAGTGCTGCAAGAAGTCACTTCTTTCTGTTGTCACCCAACCGACATCCAATTATTATTTAGATGAAGCCAGCCAGTGGGCGTTGTCTTCTTGCAATAGAGTTAAAAATAATTGGAAGGGAAAGTTGTGTGCGGGGAGAGGCGGAATTTAAACTCTCGGGAAGGAACAGAGGCGGTGGACAGCCAGCAATCCGGGGACCGGACCGAGAGATTGAGCCGTGCAATCCGTGGTCGCTGGGGGAGTGTGGTGAGCATGTCCCTGCCTCAGGCCACAGGTTGCAGTCAGTGAGGGGGTCTGCGGACCTGACTCATCAGAATGCCCACATCCTCCTCAGCCCCTGGCCACCATGGAGCCTTGTGGAATTGTCTCTCCCACCCCCTGCAGGCAGAAAGCTCACAGCACCTGTTAGGACCTCAGAGACAAAGGATGCTGTCCTGGGAGACATTTGCAGGAAGCTCCGCAGGCTGCCCCCCAACCCCGCGCCTCCCCCTCCCCCACCAGGGGTCTCACAGGCTCACTGGTCTTGGTGTTGGGGCGTTAACACTAATCAGATGCATGAACTGCAGAGTTCCCGCAGAACGCTGCCCAATCTTCCCTACCTTCCTCCCACACCCACACAGGCGGGAGCAGAGAAAAGCCCACCTGCTACTCCCGTAAGTCACAGACCCGTGTGTGACCTCGGGCCACCGCTGGGGGCCTCTCCACTCCGCAATGCTTGCTTCTCTGCATCTGGGCATAAAGTGACCAAGAACTACCTGCAACGTGTACAACCCCCGCAGGGAAAAATATTTCGTAAAAGGACTCCATCAGAAAGAGCATAAAAGTCAAACTACTTGGAGTTACATTTCCTGATTAAAGTGGGATACAAAACTGTCGTGAAATCCAGATGTTTTCTAGGTGCAACCACTTTCCATATAACGTTAGCAGGTCAGACAGCCACAGAACGCATAGCAGGTGACAAGTCCCCACCCTCAATTCCCTTCCCCTACACACAAAAATGTGGTTGGCTCATGGCATTAATGTAAAGACAAAGAACGCAAGTCATTTGGGATTGATCCCATTATATAGTCAAATTTAAAATATTCTATTTATTGCACTTAAAAAAACTATTCATTTGGGGCCTGCAATGTGGTATAGCAGACTAAGCCACCACCTGCGGCACAGGCATCCCATATGGGCACCAGTTCGAGTCCTGGCTGCTCCACTTCCAACCCAGCTCCCTGCTAATGGCCTGGGAGAGCAGCGGAAGTTGGCCCAAGGGTTTGGGCCTCTGCCACCCATATGGGAGACCTTGAAGAAGCTCCTGGCTCCTGGCTTTGGTTTGGCCCAGTCCTGGCTGTTGTAGCCATTTGGGGAGTGAACCAGCAGATGGAAGACAGCTCTCTCTCTCTCACGCTCTAACTCTGCTTTTCAAAAAATGAAACAGATCTTGTAAAATAAAAATAAAAGCCTATTCATTTGAGTTCCTGTGCAGCCCTGGAACTTATAAATCATTCTTTTAATCCCAATAGAAAATATGCACGCCTATCTATCCTGGAAAACCAATTTCCTTGAAATTCTTCTCCCAATTCAAGCTGTCAAGCGCATGCCTTGACACGTGTGTCTGCACCTCCAGGGCCCGTGTCTACCACATAAGAAACCACATTTCGAACAACTCTGGACGCACGGGGCTTAGCTTTCAATTTCAGATTCTGCACCTTACAGCAAGTCCAGTCAGTCAAGGCTGTTAATGACTTAGAGAAATCAAAGAGGGAAAAAAAAAAAAAAAAAAACGGTTCTGGCTGATCCAGTTTTAACTCCTCTCCATTTTACACTTGTTTTAGGAGCCTCGAGGGGGCCAGGCGCATCTTGTGCCGGTGCCATCGCTGGCCCCCCGCAGCCTGTGCGGCTGCAGAATTCAGCTGTCAGCTATTCTCACGCAGGGGCACAGAGAAGCCTCGCTTTCTGTTTGCTTGTTTTTTCTCAAGGCGGGAATCGGGACGCACAGGGAAGGCATTTGGGAGCACACACGAATCTGCTTTCACTTGAACAACCAAACAGTGCTTGGGGGAAAAATACAAATTTCCTATTTGCAGCAATGGTGGTGGTGCGGAGGGCGGGGGGGTGGGGCGAGGTTTGCAGAAAAAAAACCTACAGGGGTTTTCTCCTGACCCCGCCCCTGTGTGCACACAGCAAAACTCACACAACTGTCCCCCTGAATTAAAAGGGCGCATTCATCTGCAAAGCATTCATTAAAAAGTCCAGAAGCCCACATATTTAAACATAGCAAGAAGGTGTGCCGAGCCTTAATCCCCAGGCGCAGGGACACACGCGCACTCACGCCAGTCAGACCCCGCAGGTCAGGGGCTGGCAAGGCAAACCCGCTCGGCCCTAAAAGGCTGGAAAGGACGCGCAGACAGCGCCCGGCCCGCCCAGCCCCTGCCCAGCCCGGGCCACACAGTAGCGGGCACAGAAATGCACACCCGAGAGAAGCCGAACTTTCCCAAAATAAGTTTGCTTCGTCTTCCCGACCGACAGCCAACAGGTGTCAGCCCGCGTCCGCGTACAGATCCTGCCCGGCGAGGCCTCCGTAGGGTGGACCGAGAGCAGAGGGGCCTCCATCCGGGCGGCGGAGGCAGGGACGCTGTGCCCCTAGGCCACTGGGGCGGCAGGGACTGGAGCTGCGGACCCGGGGCACGCACGGGTAGGCGCGTGGAGGACACCGCAGCCGGTCTCGCAGCCCCGGCCCCGCGCTCAGTCAAGCCCCGCCGCAGACCCCCTTCCCCCCGCCCCGGGTCAGCCCCGCCAGGCGCGCAGCCGCAGAGGAAGGGCGCACGGTACCTGCTTGTCCAGCGCGTCCCGGGCGCCTCCGGGCCCCGCGCCGGCTCTGGGGGGCGCGGGCGTGCGCTCGCAGCTGCAGCCTTCCAGGAGGTACATGCCCGCCGGGCGGCCGCTCTGCTCGCCCTCGAAGTAGAAGAGCACATTCTGGTAGAGCGCGAACCACTTCTCGTGCCAGCGGCTCGCCTCGGCCGCCTTCTTGCTGAGGAAGCCACGCTTGGTGCCCTCCTTGCGCGCCAGGAAAGCGAGGTACAGCGCGTGCCCCTCGTTGTAGCGCACGCTCTTCTGCATGGCGAGGGCCCCCGGGTGCTCTGCTGGCCGCCGCCTCACCCCCGCCCCGCCGCCATCGGCCGGCCGGCTCCCCGAGGGCGCGCCCGCTCCGGCGCCGCTGGCCAAGGGCGCCCCCTTTGCCGCTGCGGCGCGAAGGGCACCCCGGCCCCGCCGTGCGCGGGTCCAAGGGCGCCGGGCACGGACTGAGCGTGTTGTCTGCCCCGATCGCCGCACCCCACCACCACCCCAGGGCCGAGCGGATGCCCCCCGACCCGAGCCCCGGACGCCCGCTGGGAGAGTGGCCCCGCGAGGGCGCCGGCGTCGACCGCAGCCTCGGTGCCCAAAGTTGGGCAGTGCAGCGCCCGCGGCGGGCTGGGGCGGCAGACGCGCGGCCGCCGGAGCAGCGCCGTCCTCGGGCCACGCGCTCCGGGAGACAGAAGGTAAACGTCACGTGGGAGATCAGCTGTAATCGGCTTGGAGACTGTTTAAAGGGCGCAGGCGGCGCGGTGCGGCGCACCAGCTCAGCCCGGCGCGCCGCCCTCCCGCGCCCGCCCTCCCGGCGGCCGCCGCCGCTCTGGCGCTGGGGGAAACGGGCGGGTCGCGGTGCAGTGCAGGCGCGCGGCCCCCACGGCGCGAGGCGCGCACCTCACACAGGCGCGCGCAGATGCACACACTTACACCGCGCCCCAAAGTACGCATCCGCATGCACGCAGCCTACACACGCACACAGGCAGACACACCACGCGCACTCTGATCCAGAGCGCGCAGATACTGTCACACAGGAGACACTCGCCTACAGACAGCTCCCTTCACAAGGCACCTTCCCGCACGCAGACACAAATGCACGGGCCACGACACTGGCACACTCACACACACACAGTCCTAGGCAACTCACACAACGGGTACTCATTCATGCATGCACACATACACATATCAGCTTGCACGGTCCCACACTGATACACACACACACTCACATACAAATATACAAACGCATTCACCCCAGAGACACATGAACCAGACACAAGCACCCCACACAGATCCTTATGCACAGAAACCCACACACTTCCACAGACCGAGTCATACACACTCACACACACTCACAGCCTGTGGCAGAGGGTGGAGCCTCAGGGTGGCTCTGCAGAGCCTCACTGGTGCTGTTTCAAACGGGCAGTGAAGCTTAGTGAGAGTCGCCCTGTGTTCCCTGGGGGCTGTGGCTTTCTTCCGGCTGCCAATCATTTCACAAGATCAAGGTAAAAGAAAGTCACTTCAAGCCTGGAGTTTTCCATCTGGGAAAAGTACCCACAGGGAGGCGTGCGTCCCGGAGCACGGCGATCCCCAGCGGCCAGGCTGCCCCAGGCTCTCCAGAGAGCCTTGTCCTGGAGTGGGGTTCATTTGGTTAGCAAATCTCTGGGTATAGCCAGAGCCCGGAGGGCCCCCCACCCTGTAAAACACAGGCAGAAAGGAAGGACTCAGCCGCAGCACCAGCGGTGGCCCCGGGAGTCAGGGACACCGGCGGGCGTCTCACCCGCAGCACCCATTTCTCAGTGCACCTTAGCCACTCCACGGAGGTGGCTTGCCATGAAACATAGGCTGTTAAAAATGACAAATAAGAGGATGCTTTCTGGGCAGCGAACGGGCGCCAGTCCACCTGCCTTGTAGCTAGCGCCAGTGGCGTGTGCACGGATCTGTAGCTCCGGGGGTGCTGCCTGCCTGTGAGTGCTGCTTTTGCGGAATATTTTGATTCCACCTCACTGAGCAGCTGAGGTTTTCTCCACTTAAAACTCACACACACACACACACACACAACCCTCACTATTAAAAACTAACAGGGAATTTGCCATTTTGAAAGCACAGCGTGAGAACAGAGGTCACGTCTCTTACAAGTCCCCGGAGAGTCACAGGACAGCGCTGGCTCAGCGGGGTTGAACTCTGCAAGCAGAGGCTTGCACGGCTCCGCAGAGAGGTCCAAGCGTGGAGAGCAGGCAGAGCTGTGGACAGCGCTTCCTGAGCCAGATCCCGGAGGCACGGCAGACAGCCACTGCCTGCGGAGGCCTCGAACATCTTTGTGGTCCGGCCCCAGCCTGCGAGCCGCCGGCCGCTAGACACTCGCGTAGCCCGTGAGCTTCATTGTACAGAAGAAACCGCTGCCGAGTGTGAAACCAGAAAAAGAACCATTTGGCAGTGCCTATCTGAATGTCCTCTTCCATCTGAGGCTCTGCAGGTATGAAGCGTCCTCTTCTCCCATGGGCAAAGTCCCTGGTATGTCACCTGTGCTTGCCTGTCCTTTGGGACTACCTTAGCTGTCCTTGTCACAGAGCCACACACCTCCCGCCCGACCCCTCTCCCCAGGAAGGTGGTATGGCCCTTAGAGCTCTCCATTTCTCCAAACCCTGCCTGGTGACAACTGTGGGCTTTACTTATGGAAAGTCCCCGCTGGGAGCGGTCAGGGGTTGTGACTTCCTGGCCTCCCACTGTTGGGTGACTGAGACAGCAGCCTCTGCTCTGGTTCCTGGTCCACCAGCCCCTCCACGCCCCGCCCAGCATGCCGCAGGGGAGCCCATCTGCCGCGGGCACACAGGTGAGTCACAAGGACTTCGTACATGAACAGCGGTGTGGCAGAGACGTTTGCAAACACTTGATCCTTAGATCATTAGAGGGATCATTAGGGAAGGCAACCAGAAATCCCGGGGTAATCCAGAGGGGCTACCTTGGGGAGCCAGCAGCCGTGTCCCTGGACCCAAACAAGAAAGAGGTGAGGGTTATGCAAATGCGGGTGTTCCCCGCAGGTGAGCAAACAGGTTGGCAAAAGGGACTGTGCTCCCGTGAGTGGGCAGGAGCACTTCTGTGAATGCTTTGTCCCTCTTGCAATCATGCATTCCTTCCTGGAGGACATTTTGGTCGATTTTTCAGAACTGAACCCCTACTCAGGTGTGCCTGAGAGCATGTAATCACACACTCACACACACACACACACACACACACATACACACGGAAGCCCATTTGGCCACTATAAAAACTCCCTAGAGAGCATAAGATCGACACCCAATCCCAGGAAGGTCATGAGTCCCCGACCAGCGAGGAACTTGGCTGCCAGCTCTCAGCCCCAGGTTCAAGCCCTAGCCCCTTGGGGAGCCAGGAATGAAGCCATAGCTGCCTGGCTCCTTGCTCTGTGCTTTTCAAATGAACACCAACATTCTGCCGCCTGCATGGGCTCAGTGGTTGGCTTTCGGGCTAGGGGGATTACTCTGCAACAGAAGAGGAGGGGAGGGGGTGAGAAGAGGAGGGAGGGGGCATTTTGTCTGGGCTGCCCACAGTCTGTGGGGTCATGGGGTACACACACACACACACACACACACAACCCTCACTATTAAAAACTAACAGGGAATTTGCCGTTTTGAAAGCAGATGCCAACCCCCTGCCTTATCTTACAGACACAAGGTAGGTTTTCATTTTTTCATCCCTTCCCGAAATGCTGTTCCACCTGCATCCGAATGGGCTGCCTCAGTTTCCCTCCATTTCCAGAATTCAGAAGTGCCTCAGCACAGGCCCCCTGAACAGGGTTCGAGATGGGGTGATGGGAAGCATGCCCAGACCCCGCAGGAACAAACTGACAAAGACAGAGTCGCTGGAGAAAAGGCACACAACTGCACCCCACCACAGAGGCGCTCACAGGGCGGAGTGGCCTCCCAGCCCCAGCCTCCTGCAGGGGAGCTGTGGGGTGGGGAATGCAGAGAGTGTGAGGGACCCCACTGACTGCTGTCAGGTTAAGAAAGCTAGAATGAAACCGTCAGAAAGACTAAAGTTACTTCTGTTCAAACGTACTGTCGGGGCCCGGAACCCCGCACCCTGATGTGGGGTGCCTTGGTGTTTCTGTGTGTCCGGAAAGGCCGCAGAGGTCAGGTCCTGACTCTGTCTTCCTGCTCCCACCCTCTTTCTCTCCCAAAGCCAGTCACAGACGCTGGCACAGTCACCCTCCCCTCCTCTCTGCAGAGCTCATCCCTGGAGGCCCCTCCCCACCGCCCCCATCCCCACCGGCCAGGAAGAACCCGCCAGAGAGTGCCCCAGCTCTGGTGCCCCAGCTCTGTAACCATGAGGCCCTCGCATCCAATCAACTTCACCGTGGCTGGCCGCTCCTCCTTGGGCCCCCGGCTGTGGGTCCTCACTTCTGAAGGCAGCGGGGTCACAATAAACTTGGAATTAACACACGTGCTGAGCCTTTGTCTTGTTCACCTGGCTGGTGTTGTGGAGGGGCAGCAGCAGCCTTGGAGGCATGAACTCCAACCATGGCCCCACCTCCTGCGCCCCCCAGCCTCCCCTGGCATCTGCACCGCCCCGCTGAGACCCCGCTTTGGTGACCAGCCTTCTCTCTGTAGCATTTACCACTTGCTGATATCCCAGTGCACGCACGGCTCAGCTTGTTTTCCTGCCTTGCCAGCACCTAGAACATTCCTGACTGGCAGCACTGACCGTCTGCTGAATGAATACCAGGAAGGAATGACGTCACAGGGATAGCTCATTCCCCCTCAACTGAAGTAGTTTCTCTGCATACCTTAGCCGTGGTCTTTCTGGGACCGGCTCCCATCCTGTCCACCCTACCCCTGGACTTCCTGCCGTCCCTTTCCTTGTGGGATTTCAACACACCCTCTGCCAAGTTCAGCCTCTGAAGAAATCCAGAACTTTCCTTGGAGTCCCTGTGACTCCTGGGTGTGATGGAGGCTGAAGGGCAGCACAGGCTGCCTCCTCCTTCCACTCTGCGTGACTCCTGCTCCCCGCCTGCCCCATCAGCGCAATCCCGCTGCTAGGAGCTCCACCGGCCTCAGCTGTCTCTGGCGCCACCCAGGCAAAAGATGCCACCTCGGCTACGTCACGCTCCTTCCTGACTGTAAAGAGCCCAGGCCCGTCACCCCAACTCAGGACATCCCCGCAGCCTGGGGGAGAGGACCACTTCCTGCCAGGCCCACAAAGGCTTCTTTCCAATAAAGGGTCCTGAGGGTGCGGAGTTAAGTGACAGACAGAAAGGGAGACCAGGGAACGCAAACCACGAGAATGAAAATGGATGACGGCGGGGCCGGCGCCGTGGCTCAATAGGCTAATCCTCCACCTTGCGGCGCCGGCACACCGGGTTCTAGTCCCGGTTGGGGCGCCGGATTCTGTCCCGGTTGCCCCTCTTCCAGGCCAGCTCTCTGCTATGGCCAGGGAGTGCAGTGGAGGATGGCCCAGGTGCTTGGGCCCTGCACCCCATGGGAGACCAGGAAAAGCACCTGGATCCTGGCTCCTGCCATCGGATCAGCGCGGTGCGCCGGCTGCAGCGGCGGCCATTGGAGGGTGAACCAACGGCAAAGGAAGACCTTTCTCTCTCTGTCTCTCTCTCTCACTGTCCACTCTGCCTGTCAAAAATTTAAAAAAAAAAAAAAAAAAAAAGAAAATGGATGACGGCAAACATGGGTGTGGCTGGGCGCAGCAGGTGCAGGTGTAGGCGCTCAATGGGGCTGCCGCAGGGGGAGAGACCGGGCATCAGCTCCTTCACCGCGCTGGCCGCCTTCTCTTCTAGTTCTACAATAAATCTCT